TATTTTGCATTATAAACGCCAATCAGTTGTTATTATTATTACCTTACACAAGTTTTCTGGATTATCGATCAGCTTATTATTATGACCATTGTTGTTTGTCGCTTTTCTTCATATCTGTCAATGAGACGATTATCTGATCCATAAATTCTGTTCTTCCCTACCCCTTGATTAGTATGTAACCTCATTTGTTATTTAGTCTCGAATCCATTTTGGTGATGCAATCCTTTCTATTCTTCTATAGACATACATTTTCTATATACCTATATATACGAATGTACAGCTTAAGTAAGTGATTTCGTCGAAAGGAAAATTTTCATCGCTGAATTCTGTTTTCCTTATTCAATGACATTATAGGTTATTTTAAGCAGTCAAACTACTTCAGAGTTTTAAGTAGTATAACTCAGTATACGAAAATCAGCTACGGAAAAACCATAAAACCTTGCGATATTTACAAATTCCTTATTGGACTTACACAATAATGCTTTCTTTTAAAATGACAAAAGATTTTCCCATCAGCTATTATTTAAATACACAATAAAAAAACTATACGGCCAATTATTCGAAGGAATTCTCGATGTTTACTTTCAATTTGTAGGTGATGAGGAAGATTATTCCAGAGTTTACTATACTATGAACTCTCCCATTACTAGCTAATGTTCTCGCCCTCCACATTTAGGTGGAACACAACAATCATGTTATCCATCTATCTATCTATTATCAAGAATGCAGTGCAACTGCTTACATAGACATGGATCTCAAGGAACAAGTATTTCGTTACTTCTGGTCAACAAAGTTGAAAGCTTGAAAGAGTAACTGTTCTACCATACATCTTGTTACTTTCACGATAATATACATTTCACATTAGTTATGTAGTGGATGACAACACACAAGTGTGAACAACCAAAATTCAATGTTAGCAACCATCCTTGTTTGCTTATTGTGATGCTTGTTACTGAACATAACATCAAGGCAATACTGACAGTTTGCACATATGTCAATGAGAGATTGAACGATCTCAGTCCTAAACATCAGTGGGAAGATTCAAGTGAACAATATCAAGTGAATTTACTGTAAATACTTTAATGAATAAAGAATTAATATCACAGCAAATGAACATCAATTTCATGGATTGATTGACTATAATCTGCATTACTGTTATTATTATTCATTGGAATGAAACAACTTAACATAATACTCGACAATGAAAGTGTTTAGAATAAATTGAGTTCAAATGTGGAGATTGAATAATATTAAACAATCATACTGTGGAAGATATTGACAGTGATGTAAACAGTTTGATCTGCACACTGAATGAATGCACATTTTGTATGTCTTACAACTTTCAACAACAACAATCATCATAACAGTCACATAATATTGATAATGATATTTGTGTTCAGTGAACTATGAACAATGATGAGCCAAGGGTCATAGACTTCCAGGACTAATTATTGTTTACGAAGGCTGTTTGATTATTAATATCAAATAGGTCAATTTGACCCACATGATTCTGTTGTGTTCTGTTCACCGGAGTCAGCTGTACCATAAGTGTTGATTTATTCATGATTAGTAACGTTTGTTTATAAGTTTGATTGTTTGCAAGTGTTAATGGGAAAATCGTTGTCGTCGTATCACATTTCACTACAGCTTTTTAAGATCTATGGAATATTCGACCAGACGTAGTCATGATGTATCCATATGAGATGATTGGACTTCTCTTACAGTACTGATTGTTCAAATCATATTAATTATTTGTGTGACATGAAGCCTATCTGTTTAATTGAAGTATTCACAAGGGATTTTGTGAAATTCCCAAGGCGTATATCAATTCGAGTGATAGCTTCATGAGATAAACACAAATGATACTTAACAAACATGATACGAAAATGGTGGAAAATAACCTATCAGTTTAACTAAGTGACATCTCTTAGCTTTTAACCAGTAGGTTAAGAGCAAGCTGATTGTTAACCTGTTTTTATGAGTAAACAAGCGCATAACCAATCAAATAAGGCAAAATCCAAGAAGTAGAAAAGTTCGAATTGTTGACATACAGCATTCCTGTATACAATTGTTCAGCCTATATACGTAGAGAGGACGAGAGCGAGCGAGTAGTTCAGTGACAACGTCTCCAATTGTGAGGCTGGTAGACACGTAATCGAAAGCATCACTTTCCTCAAGATTACACTTACATCTTGCTGACGACGGCGTACTGACATGAAATCTAGGTTAAGGTTTCCACAACGAATTACTGTAACATTCACATTATATATATATATATATATATTCATAGTGTACAAAATGTGTCGATCTTGATCAAAGAAACTAAAGTGCAATCACTTATTTGTTCTCAATAAACCAACCGTTTAATGCAGTTTGTTCTATTTCTGTTATAATTTCTGATTTGAAGGCTTATAGTCTTGGCTTTTTAATGCTAAATTTTGTATCTGCTCTTCGCTAATTGTTATGTTGGAAAAACGCTGATCACTTATACTCGGAACGAGGGAACTCCACACATCTCACGACGCGAATGTAGGAACACAAAGACTGGTTTTGGCGATTATTTATTTACTCAAAAACACAATCACGACGACGAAGACAACTCTAGTAGAAAAGATACTCATTTATTTACTGATTGTACACTCATTTTGATCATTAATTAAGATGAAATCACATACTGAGCAAATTTCATGTCGCATATTATACAGAATAAAATATTATCCAAGAAAAGAAAAGAAATCCTACATTGAGTAGTTATAACATTGAATCAAAACTGAAGTATTTTTGAACAAAAAGTCATAATGAGTAAATCAAATGGTAAATTGACTTTTGATTCCATCATATCAATTTGTAACCGAATCACTTATTCTGTTGTTTTTTAAAATGTTCGCTTAACCAAAGTTCATTGAAGCGATTGATGAATTTCGCCATAAATTTGTGTAATCTTATTGAATCGTTATTAATACTGAACATTCGAATAATTCCATGTAAGTTTATCAATTTTTCTACCAAAGTGTGTGAATTAAGCATGAGTTTAGATTTGTTGATAAGTTGTACTATAAGTAGCACTGATCTCCCACTAGAAGGTCCACTTATCGACTTAGAATACGCAGATGAAACAGTTCTGTTTGATGACGATGCTGATAAAATGAACTCTTTTAGTATCACTAAGCAACAATGCCAGAATGTTTGTAATGCGCTTTTCTCCCTCTGACTGCGAGTTTCTGCTCGACGGCTGGCCTGTGTCAACACTTTAACTAAGGATAGGGAGTGAAGTTGAACGCGTCGAGAACTCCACTTATCTTGGAAATCCGATCAACCCTAATGTGTTGTTGTCTGACAAAAGCTCAGCACGTGTTCGGACATCTTGTTTGCCTTTTGTCAAATTACATCACCTATGGCGAAGGCGAGATATCCGTCTACCAATAAAATGACGAGTATACTGCTCAGCTGTTCTTTCTGTTCTACTTAACGGTCCGTAGGAGTAAAAGATACCTGTGAGCTACTAATAATTGATCACAGGTCCCTTAAAAACATTTTCCACATTTGCTGGTATCACTAGGTAAATAGAAGTGATGTGAGACGCATGGTATGAGGTCACGATGTTAAATCAATTGATGTGGTTGTGAATCTTCAGCGACTGAGATGGTTGAGCCAAATATTCCCGAACACAGATTACCACGACGCGCAATGCTAACTAGTGTTTAGGATGGCTAGAATAAAGCTAGAGACGGCCAAAACAAAATATGTTATCAGCACAAAATATAACTCTCAGCACAAAGGATTCCAACTAATTTCTTTACAAACACGAGAGGGGTTCTCATAGATTTTCCTGTATTGGTTCAACAACAAGGTGTACAAGATGAAATATATATGGAAAATATTTATTACGACATAACTTGTCAGCAGTTTGCAACATTTTCAATGTCTATCGACAACCATGTTTGTAATGATCTTAAAAGATTCATCATACATACTACTCACTGCCTTCAGCAGTCTCCACAATATGGCAAAATCTTTCCTAAAAATCATCGGAGAGAATAATCGAGAACAGTGATGAATAACAAGTAATACACAAGAATGAAGAAGTCATCAATATAAATGTCGAGCAATGCGCAAAGCATGTAACCTCACTATATAATCGGTCGAACGCAAAGCCTTCTTTCATATCAAAACCACATGAAAAGACGGAGAGAGAGGAAGAGATACGAGCAAATTATTATTCCGCAAAAAGTAGCCTTCCACATTGTTTTCAATACGGAATCTCTAATAGTACAAACTTCATGATATTACAATAAGCTTTTTGAGTGCAGTTTGTGTTTCAAGCTAAACTTAGCAATTTGATATTTGCAAGGATTACGTAGGAGACTATTAACAACAGACCGTCGTTAATTGAAAGGCAAAAACTCATTCGTTTCATTTCATTCGTAATATACACATCAGGATCATCAGTCTATTCAACAAAGTGTTTTCCATAGAAGATGGCAGGGTGATCAAGCTTCGATTGTATGACGTTGACTTTTTAACCAAAACTATATCATAGTAAAAGAGATAGCTTAACGTAAGTGACAACATACTTCCATTGAGAATCATTTATTTAGATGAATGCATTAGTCATTGTTAATGATCTATTTCTCTGGATTGAGTGGGATAACGTTAATGACTACAAGTCACCCCACCTTATGCAGTGAGCAGCTACAATGAATCAGATGAGATCAGTTTTCGTCGGCTTTCAATGTTTGTTATTAATCTCGTGAAGATGATACAGCAAACTAGTCAGATGGAATTCAAATTCTCTTCATGAATCCGAACTTGTTGTAAAACATTGATGAATGAGGAAAGAAATAATCACGTGAATGAATATTTAAGGTTTTATGTAATCCATGAAATTTTGTATCTGCATTACAGTATTATTGTGAATTCTTTCTGATTTCAGTTGAGTTTAGAATTAGTGGTTGAGGAAGGTGAATTGTTGACAAATCTCCATTACAAATAGTAAAACGATGATGAAATTGACATTGGATAGTGTTTCAGAGATAAATTGTCAGAGTAATTCTAATTGCACGTAAGAGATTTATCATTCCAATTAACATATTCAGCTTCGATCATTATACAGAACCAGTTGTTCTCAGTGGTATCATATTAACGTAAGTAATATGTTTTTAATGCAGGTATTACGCGAAAATCATAACAACAATTTTCCATGTAATACTATTACGTATTATTTAATGAACTGATTAGTACAAATAGTCAAAGACTAAGTATGTGCCACACAAATCAGTTGATTTGTGTGTGGGCTCTGATATTGTCCGGGTGACCAGAGCGAAGCTGGTGGTTTTGTTAGAGGGCCACACTCGGAGTCACAAAGCAACGTCAGCAGATGTAATCCAATGGCAGCTGAGTAATATGTCATTTCTTTTCCTTAGGTTTGTGGAGCCCATGTACATCACTGATTTAGAATCACGGTTTTACAACTTGCTCAAATGGATTCAGCATATGCACTAACCCGTCAAATAGCCGAATATTCGCCTTATATACTCTCAATTTCTTAAACAGCACCCTCGCCACAAAAAAGGAATGAATATTTCTTCCATGTTAGTGACTGTATATGAGTGTCCATATGGGACCGTTTCGAGAGGGAGAGCTAATCCTCTCCAAAATCTGTCGTACCAGGGCATTCGTGTGATGAAATGAAAGAGATCATTCCTTAGGTATTCATTTAATCGGTCATTTTGACAAGTTTTACAAACTTTCGAAAATGTCGAACTGAGAAGTTGAGGAATATGTTCACGCATTTTATGCATACATATTGTGTAGAACATTTGATGCATATTACTATGCCCTATTGTATCTGTGAGCTTCGTATGTTGTACACATATTTTCCTTTATATTTCAGATTTATAGGTTTACTTATTGGATTATTAATCATATTTATTAAGAAACTACATTCCACATCCATAGTAAACATTTGCTTTATGGCTATAACGGTCAGTTGAATATGGTTTTAATATTACATTCATGATAGTTTCATCCAATCATCGATTGCATTTAGTTGAGTGTTGTTTGTTGAATAAAACATCAATGTTGTCATGTTCGTTTGATAACGGTTATCAGGATCAAATGATCTTTGAAGGTTGACTTGAATAGATGAATTTGAACGTTGTATTTCATTTTAAGATGACATGATGCGTAGAGACTAAGTTTCTATAGTTTCACTGATTTCATAGAAATGTTGACGTATATTGATGATCCGGTTGGGTCATGAGCTATTACTTAACTGATAGGTGGCGAAAATAATATAACATTAGAAGGTATCTGTCTGTCCATGTTATGGACAATTGAGAAGTAAATAGACATGGTTACATATAATACTGGTTGTAAGATCCATTTTGAATGCTTTGTGTGTTTGTGAAAATCCCTCCATGTATATACTTGCACTTTGTCCTATTGATCCTCTTAGTTGTGCATTGTTAACTTTTTTACTACATTTTAATTGTTAATATTTGTATTTTATTATAGTTTTTGTTTTTACTACACCTTCACTAATTCCCCATGTTTCTTCCCGAACTGCACTTATGTTGTTTTACTTTATACTAAGTCTGGGCGGCAGCCATTTTGGTTTGTTCCTCCTTTTGATTGCTTGATCTGTGTTGACTGGAATTGTGTATTTTGGTTGTGAATTGAAGCACTCTTCCAGAATTGAAAACACTCTGTGTTATAGAGCGACCAATTATTACCTTTTGAACGAATCTGTACGTGATCTATCCAGACAGGATAGAATAACATTTATTTGTGGTGATTGGGGATTTTCTTGCATCCTTTATCAACTTTCTTATTAATTGTGGTTTAGGTTTGATCAATTGAACAATTATTGGTTGGATAGCTGAGTGGTTATATTTGTTTAGGTAATAATGTACACTTAAATTTATGATAAATTATAGAACCGTCATCTTACCCAATTCCTTTGTTTTGGTTTCAATCGGGCAAGGGCGCGTATCTAACTCATCCAGACAGCTGTCCTTCACTCCAAACCGTAGTTTGGATCTTAAACTGGTACATTCTACTCTCATCTACGTTTGTTGTGATAACCATTTGCAAGATGTGGAATGAGTTGTAAACACAGAACAACTAAACAAATTGAATTTGTGTCATTTCCATTTGTATAATCATCCACACACACTTTGTCTATCACTGAACGTGTGTTCTATGATACACAAGTCATCATAAGATGCTTCCACTGGCAGACATTAGTAACTGTCGGAGTTGTTGGTTTACCCAAATTGGTATATTCCATACATTTTCGGTGAAAAACCTGATATAAAATGGTCATGTGTAATGGATGAGCGAATTAGCATTGAAGATATTTCAAGTTTGTCATTATGATAGATATGGATAGAGATTCATTGTTATGTGCTTGTATACATAACTATTCATTGTTAAGCATTTCAATCAAATGCAGGACAGTGAAGATTATTCTTTCATTATTTGTCCAATAGTTGACCGATTCAACGTTTAAACTAATGGTAATCAATTTGATGATACTACTTTTTCCCAATTCAGTTGATAATTATGATTATTGGTGTTGGATTACTAAATTCACGAACACGATGGTATGAAATAATTATTTCTGTAACTGTGGATACCACGTTGGCCAGCTTAGCGATTTTATTGGGTGTAAAACTACGAGTTCCAGAAAGAAAATTGGAGATAATCTTGTTCTCGATATGGTGTGTGTTTGGGGGAATCGGAATCATTTTATTGATTATAGGGGCGGCACTTTCCAACGTAAGTTTGTCTAATCATAGATTTGCACAAACTAGTAGTAATTAGTGATGATTATTTATTTGTTAATGGTTTACTCCAGTAGCTACAGCTCTCCCAACTAAATTCGCTGAATGTGAATACCGGTGAAAAGTTTCTGTTATAGCCTGAAGCCGCCAATCAGAAGCAGCAAATTATCGATCGGATCAAGGACGCATAAGACACGTGCGTGCAGCCTACAGTCCTGATAAGTCTTGCATTCCGCTTAGCCCGGTCAGTTAGATCCAGAACATCAATCTCATCCTCTGCAATATGAATCATGTATTTCAAATATACACTGTTTATATGATAGTCAAGTAGAACACAACGTAGCCTAAAGCAGGAAAGCACAGTTTTACAAGATCTGGCTAAATATGTCTGTGAATGCGGGAGGAAGTGAATAACAGACAGGAAATAACTCAAGAATGGTAATTTTTATAATAACAGTTCATAGGTCAAAATAAAGCTTATGATAAGAGAGATATGAATGTGAATATTTTGCTTAATTAACAATAATAAGACAAAAATATACACATAATATTGGTCCATAACTTGATCCGAAAAAGCTACCACTCATTATTCTTTTCGGGACACAACATTTCCCTACACCGAAATAGAAATACATTTTCAATTTAAGTTTGATTGACCAATATTTCAAACAAATCTTTGTTTTCTTATACATGTTCAACTACTTTGAACGTTCATTCGAATTATTTCGCTCCCGTACTGTTTTCTACCGAATATGATACTTTCATAAAGTTACTTACTTACTTATCCACTTACGGCTGTTACTCCCAGTAAAGCATGGGCCGCCTTCCAGCATTATCCAACCCACTCTGTCCTGGGCCTTCCTTTCTAGTTCTATCCAATTTTTGTTCATGCCTCGCATGTCTGCCCCAATTTCTCAGAGTAATTTGTTCTTTGTTCTTCCTCTTCTTCTTTGGCCTTGAGGTTTCCAGATTAGGGCTTGCATTGCGACGCAGTTGGGTGCTTTCCTCAATGTGCGTCGTATCCACTTCCAGCGTTTCTTCATGATTTACCCCTCCCCTAAAACCTCGTTTGTTCTTTCCCACATTAGGTTGCTGCTGATAGTGTAGTGTCCGGCCAACGGATCCGAAGTATTTTGCTTAGACAACTGTTAATAAACACCTGAATCCTCTGGCTTTCGTAGTTCTTCAAGTTTCAATACCGCACAGTAGAACTGTGATGACATTTCCATTAAAAATTCTGAGTTTGGTGTTGTTTGACAGAGAGTTGTTCTTAGTTTCAGGTGTACTTCATTTGTAAATATGCTGCTCTTGCTTTGCCGATCCTCGCCTTTACATCAGATTCTCCGTGTTCATCAATGATAATGCCCAGATATGTCAAGGTTTTCCCATCTTCCAAATCTTCTCCGTCAAACGTGAATGGATTAGTGCATGCTGTATTGTATGGGAGAATGTTGCTTTTCCCTTTCTGTATTTTGAGACCTACTGATGTTGAGGCTGCGGCTTCAGTGGTCTCTTTCTCCTGCATTTGTTGTTGCATGTGTAACAGAAGTGCCAGATCATCTGCGATGTCTAGATCGTCCAGGTGCATCCTAGCTAGCTAATAGATCCCCTTCTTCACCCTGGATGTTGACGTCTTCATGGTCTGTTCGATCACCCGAGAAAGAGAAAGGTTGAGAGTAAGCAACATTGCCTGAAACTGTTCTTCACTTCGGACGACTCTGTCAAGTGTCCGCCAGGCACGATTTTACAGTTAAATCCATCAAAGGAATTCTGTTCGATATTGGCTATTTTCTCAGGCGCGCTGTATTGTTGAAGTAGCTTCCATAGTTTTGTTCTGTACACGCTATCAAATACTTTCTCATAGTCAATATAAATGATATAGGGTGATGAATCTCGTTCACTTGATAGTTCCATAATGATCCGTAGAGTTGCGATATGGTTTGTACACGATCGACCCTTACGGAATCCTGCCTGTTGATCTCGAATTTGGGCGTCTACGCAGTACATCATTCTGTTGACATCGCCTTTCTTTGGTATTTTGATTAGAATTCCTACTTTGCAGTTTTTTGGTACTTGTTCTTCATCTGAAACTTTGCTGAAGAGAATGTGAAGTGTCTTTGCAGTTACTACTACATCATCTTTCTGTGCCTCTACCGTAATGTTGTCTGGTCCTGCTGCTTTGACACTGTTGATTTGTCTAATGGCCATGCTGATTTCTTCAATTGTTGGTGGGCCAACATCGATTGAGAGGTCCGTGGGTGCTGATTCGATGTTTGGTGGGTTCAGTGGAGCTGATAGATTCAAGAGTTATTTCAAATATTCTACCAAACTGTTTCGCTATTCTTTGATGTCGGTGATTACGTTGCTTTTATTCCTGTCCACTAGTCTTTCTGGTTTACGATGATTTTCAACGAGTTTCTTTGTTGTACCATACGAGTGTTTCATGTTTTCTTTTCTTGCAGTCTTTTTCGCTGTCACTGCTAAGTCTTCCACATATTTACGTTTGTCGGTTCTCATACTCCTCTTCACTTGCTTGTTTATTGATGTGTATTCAGCTTGCTCCTTGGCTTCCTCTGCTTTTGTTCAGCTGTTATGGATTGCTGCCTTCTTGTTCCACCTTTTTTGAATCTTATCCAGTGTATCTGCAAAGATCCATTTCTTGTGGCCAAGGAACTCATTATTTGTTGGAGTGATTGTCTCTTTGATCCTCTTCCAGTTGCTCTCCATAGTGGTTCCTTCACCAGTGATTTCATGTTCTTAGAGTCACTAACATGAATGTTTCACGATACAGTCATTAAACAAACTAATTCGTTGTTTGATCAAATGTCAAGTATGAGACAGGATGGGTAAATGATTTCGAAATTCAGGATCACTGACTGACTGAACTCTTAAATTAAGTCAGTCAGTCAGTGACCTACATGTTAGTTTAAAATCGGTAGAGTTAATTAGTAGAGTAATACTGTTTCTTCACTGATATTGATATACATACATGATGAATTAAAGTGAATTGTTTTCTTTCCTTTATTTCAGTATATTGTACTAGGTGTATCCTGGATTTGTTGGTGCTGTATAATGTTAATTGTAAGTTGTGAATCAGTAATAAAATGTGAATACAAACAACCGTCCATTGATTATTGTGCATTCAAATATGTGTTTCTTTAGAGCTTAGAACTTTGAAGCATTAGTGTTTTCTATCCAGAGCATTCAACAAGAATTCATCATGAAGCTCTTTGAAGGATGGCTGAAAGCGAGACATTAAGTGGTGAAGTGTTTATCGCTTAGTTCGTTTCTTTAGTTGAATGGCTCAATAATTGACAGATCAAAATACTAGACACTTACTGTTCATTTGCTATGTATTAATGTTTAGAAATTGCAAAGTTGTCAACCCTATATCTATAAATGCCTATTACTTCACCGATAAATTTGTTGATATGAACACATCAATAGTGAAATAATCAATTGGAACTAGACCACCATGGAAAACCTGCGATGACTGGAAGACCGTTCCGTCGTATTGTGGGACTCCTCAGTGACAGTGCGCATCCACAATCCCACCTCGCGATATTCGAACACAAAACTTATTGATCTCGCGAGCGAACTATTATAATACTACTTTAATATCCACAAAACTCCCTTCTGATACTAATGAATTAATCATCTATGTTTTGACTATTACAGGTGATTGTATACACAGCATATTATTTGTGTGGATCCAGTGAAGAAGAACAGTCGCATGTTATTTACATTCTTTTCTTATGGTCATATGAATATACCGCACTAATTATCAGTTCACAGTTTTGTTTAAATTCATTCATCGATTGTCTTCCGTGCAATAAGACAATGAATAACACAATGATTGGACATGATGAATAGATGCTATTCCATTGAATGTTTTTATATGTTTGAAGATTATTGTAAATGGCTTTGTTATTTATAATAGATGTTCTGTTAAATAGACGTTCGCCTCTTATAATCATTCACAATGTAGAACCACACATATTTATGCATCAATCGAAGTTGCCATACCTCTTAAGCACAACAAGATGAACACCGAACTCATAGATGTAGTTACTCCAATGGTCGTAATATATTAAAGAAAGATTGTATATAAAGATAATGTACAGGAAGAAAGAATTAGTTGGTAGAAAGATTTGAAGCGACTTCAATCTCATAGTTTGAGGGAAGACAGAAAGTGTATGCACCTAATGCACGTGAACCCAAACGAAGACAACATCAGCCGCCTTAATTACAACTAGAAGTAGACAAAGAAAATTTATTGTCTCAATAGTGGCATCTAGTGTTTTTCGAACTGGACGTTCACTGTTTGGATACAAGTACATCCAGCTAATGAGTTCCGAATAGGATGAAACCAACTTCCTGGATTCCACTAATAAACACTCCACAACTATTCTATAAAAACGTGTGACAATGAGTATACCTAGATAATTTGAATAGGATTTGCATATACGAACTAAATCTGATCAAAATCCAGTCCAAATAAAAACTACTGGGTGATCCATTCAATTAAAAATTGAATTAAAATCGATGGGAGCTCAAATATATAGTCCGTATATTGAATGCCAATAAAGCTTTCACTGTGTGTGCATCACCGATAACCATATAAAGCTGAGAAAATGATCTTTGGAATTTTCCAACCACCTGTATGTTTACAAAAGTGTTTTGTTCATTTCTTCTCCCTACCGTATCCTTTACGAACTATCGGTAACAAAAATGACCATTTTTTGCAGCCCATCACTTGAGATAATATTTTTGTTAATATCATATCCACTGTTACGTTCATCGTTTTATTTTCTGCTCATTTCACACATTATTCACATGACCTCGTCGCTTTGTCTTTAGGAACGCAATCCAGGACATAAGTCTTATTGTATTTGGAACTTGTCAGCCAGTTGAATATGCATCTCGATGTTGTTCACACTAAGACTGAAACTCAGTTCCTATCGTTTTGAACATTTAAGGTTTATACGCTTCGCTAGTGACACCATATAGTCATCAACCTTTTCAAAGTATTGGTAAAGGTTTGGGATTTCCCACTGTTTATTTGTCCGTAATTAACTGGTCTATTGTGCCATTTGTTCGTCCTGCGCGGATTTCTTCGACATAACTATTTAAAAATTCAGGTACTATGATATTTGGATTATGTAACGTATTAGTAACTCCGCATGTAGCTGCCGGTCTCAAGCCCGGGTAAAGAAGAAGGGTTGGGCATGGGGTTAGCGTCCCTATCCCGTAGAAAACTAACTCGCTAAAAAAACGCTTACCAGAAAAAATAATCCAAACCATTTTAACTCTGCCCTGGGAGTTAGAAGGTCTTCATTTAGAAGAATTATGACGCTTCATGGCGAAAGCCGAGTTCCTTCGGAAGCCACGAGGCCGATGACCCTTCTAACAACCAGAGCAAAAATTTTTATAGGTACATGGAACGTTCGAACAATGTGGGAAACCGGGAAGACCAGTCAAATATCAATGGAAATGAGGAGATACAACTTAGCAGTACTGGGAATCAGCGAAACCCACTGGACCCAAGCTGGACAGAAAAGGCTAGCTACGGGAGAGATGCTGCTATACTCCGGTCACGAAGAGGACAATGCTCCACACACTCAGGGAGTCGCTCTTATGCTGTCCAAAGTAGCACGAAATGCACTTGTAGGATGGGAATCTCACGGATCCAGAATCATCAAAGCATCATTCAAAACAAAGAAGGAGGGGATCTTAATGAATATTATCCAATGTTATGCACCCACTAATGATAGCAACGACGACATTAAAGATCAATTCTACGAGCGGCTGCAGTCAGTGATAGAGAAATGCCCAAGAAAGGACCTCACCATTCTAATGGGAGATCTAAATGCCAAAGTCGGAATAGACAACACTGGATATGAAGATATTATGGGACGACATGGACTGGGAGAAAGAAACGAAAATGGAGAAAGATTTGCAAATCTATGTGCATTCAACAAATTGGTCATAGGAGGCACAATATTTCCACACAAGCGTATACACAAGGCTACATGGATCTCACCGGACCACACTACAGAGAACCAAATAGATCATATTTGCATCAACAAAAAATTCCGAAGGACAATTGAAGATGTGAGAACCAGGAGAGGAGCTGACGTAGCTTCAGATCACCACCTAGTTGTAGCCAATTTGAAACTGAAGCTAAAAAAGAACTGGACAGGTGGACAAACAGCAATACAAAGGTTCAATGCAGCCTTCCTTCGAGATACTGTCAAACTCAATGAATTCAAGATAGCTCTCATTAACAGGTTCCAAGCCTTACGAGATCTACTGAAAGAAGAAACTACTATGGAGGACAACTGGAAAGGCATCAAGGAAGCATTAACTTCAACGTGTCAAGAGGTTCTCGGTCTAAAGAAATACCATCATAAGGAATGGATCTCTATAGATACACTGGACAAGATCAAAGAAAGGAAGAACAAGAAGGCAGCAATAAACAACAGCCGAACACTAGCAGAGAAAGTCCAAGCACAAGCTGAATACATAGAAGCAAACAAACAAGTGAAGAGGAGCATTAGAGCCGACAAGAAGAAATACGTGGAAGAACTAGCAACGACGGCAGAAAAAGCTGCTAGAGAAGGAAATATGAAACAGCTTTACGATACAACGAAGAAACTATCAGGGAAATACAGTAAACCAGAGAGGCCGGTCAAAGACAAAGAAGGCAAGCCAATCACCGAAATTCAACAACAGCGTAACAGATGGGTAGAATACTTCGAGGAACTCCTGAATAGGCCGTCTCCAATGAATCCACCGGACATCGAAGCAGCACACATAGATCTTCCTATAGATATCAACCCACCAACTACGGAAGAAATTAGAATGGCCGTCAGACAAATCAAGAACGGGAAAGCAGCGGGACCCGACACCATACCAGCTGAAGCACTGAAATCAGACATCGAAGCAACCACAAGCATGCTTTATCTTCTATTCAAAAAGATTGGGGATGAGGAACAAGTGCCGATGGACTGGAAAGAAGGACACCTCGTCAAGATTCCAAAGAAAGGAGATCTGAGCAAATGTGAAAACTACAGAGGCATAACACTACTGTCAATACCAGGGAAAGTCTTCAACAGATTGTTGCTGAACCGGATGAAGGATGCAGTAGACGCCCAACTTCGAGATCAACAAGCTGGATTCCGTAAGGATCGTTCGTGCACAAACCAAATTGCAACACTACGGATCATCGTCGAACAATCAGTTGAGTGGAACTCATCACTCTACATCAACTTCATTGATTATGAAAAGGCATTCGACAGTGTAGATAGGCGAACGTTATGGAAACTTCTTCGACACTACGGAGTTCCTGAGAAGATTGTCAATATTATCCGGAACTCATACGACGGACTACAGTGCAAAGTAGTGCATGGAGGACAGCTGACAGATGCATTCCAAGTAAGGACTGGAGTCAGACAAGGCTGTTTACTCTCTCCCTTCCTTTTTCTTCTGGTGATCGACTAGATTATGAGGACCTCGACATCTGAAGGAAAACACGGAATACAATGGACAGCTCAGGATCAATTAGACGATTTGGACTTCGCAGATGACCTAAACCCCCTATCACGTACACACGAACAGATGCAGATGAAGACAGCCAGTGTAGCAGCAGTCTCTGCATCAGTAGGCCTCAGCATACACAAAGGGAAAACTAAGGTCCTCAAATTCAAAGCGGAGAACAGCAATCCAATCACACTTGATGGCGAAACTCTGGAAGATGTAGAATCCTTCACATACCTGGGAAGCATCATCGATGAACAAGGAGGATCCGATGCAGACGTAAAGGCGAGGATCGGCAAAGCAAGGGCCGCTTTCCTACAATTGAAGAACATATGGAACTCAAAACAACTTTCAACCAATATCAAAGTAAGAATCTTCAATACGAACGTCAAGGCAGTTCTACTGTATGGAGCTGAAACTTGGAGAACTACAACAACCACAATCAAGAAAGTACAAGTATTTATAAATAGCTGTCTACGCAAGATACTCAACATCCATTGGCCGGATACCGTCAGCAATAGCCTTCTGTGGGAGAGAACAAACCAACTTCCACCTGAAGAAGAAATTAGGAAAAGACGATGGAAATGGATAGGACATACATTACGCAAATCGTCAAACTGCATCACGAGGCAAGCCCTAACTTGGAATCCTGAAGGGAAGCGAAAAAGAGGAAGGCCAAAGAATACATTGCGTCGGATAATAGAAGCAGATATGAAAACGATGAATTACAACTGGACAGAGCTAGAAAGGACTGCCCAGGACAGGGTTGGATGGAGAATGCTGGTGAGCGGCCTATGCTCCTTCACGAGGAGTAACAGGCGTAAATAAGTAAGTAAGTAAGTAACGTATTAGTGGTTGATTCATTTCGTTATTCCTCTATCTCTTAAACGCACACCGACCAAAAATGTGTATTTGTTTACATTTCAATTGATCAATAATGAGACTATTTAAAACTCTAGATAAAATCCACAAGTAATCAAGCGTATCAGAAGGGTTTTTCTGAATGGTTGGGATCAGTAGTCAATTGAAACTAGACCACCATGGAAAACGTGAAAGAAAACCATGGTGGTCAAGCCTCAATTGACTGATGATCTCAACAATGTTTATTACACATAATGCCTAAAATATTCGTTATGAGGATTGTTTACACTTTAGCATAGAGCACGTCGTGTTATAATTC